AGTTTTATTTTTTAATAAAATTTTTTAAATAAAATTTAGAATTTAGATTTATTTAGTTTTTTAATAAAATATTAGTATTTTTATAAAACTGTGTTTTATTTTTAATAAAATATTTTTTAGTAAATTAAAACTATATCTTTTAATAAAAAATCTTCTTTTTATAAATTAAGAGTGTTTATTTTTTAATAAAATATTTTTTTTAAATAAAATTAAGAGTTTATCTTTTAACAAAATAATATTTTTTATAAATTAAGAGTTTATTTTTTAAACATTTTTATAAAATTTAGAATGTTTAGTTTTTAATAAAATATTACTTTTTTTATATAAGAGTGTTTATTGTTTCACAAAATATTCTTTTTCAGGAATAACTTCTACAAATGAATGGTAATGGTAATATCAGTTGTTTCCTTATAAGGAAACGGATGACATTCATTGGTTGAAATTTATAAACTTTTTCAGGAAAATAGGTTTCTCAAGTCCACTAACTGTTATTACTCTTTCCAGGATTGATGGGGGTTTCCTTCCTAACCTTTTGTTTGAATTAGTGTGGAATGTCAGCATATAGATTAAGTTATTATTTTCTCTTCGATTTACATGTGATATCAATTTTAGCGTCCCCTCTTGTTGAAAGTCCTCATGTGATGTGGTTTCTATTATTTTTTGGTACAGCATTTTTGTTTGTGATTCTGTTTCACCACTTTACAAAGTTCGAAAAAGGATAGTATTTGCTAAAAACTACTGCCTTCATTCACTCAAAACCATTTTTAACCACTGGCCTGAGAAAGCGGTTGATCTGTGAAAAGGAAGATAAAGGAAGCAATAAAATGTGCTTAATATTTGTTCCAGTGAAATTGAAAAAAACTTGTCAATTTTAAATCTTTTGATTTGTACCCTCTTACTTTTTTAAATATTGACCTACATTACTTATGATTGTTATTGTAATATTTTCTTAAAGTTTTTCAGATCAAATATTAATGCAGCAGACCTGATGAAGATCGGAGGGCACAATGGCCGAAACGTTGTGATAGCAACAGCAAAGATAAGGACAATGTAAATAATGTCAAGGGTTAAAACTAATACTTATGGTTCTTACTGCAATATTTTGTTAAAGTTGTTAAGCTCAAATAGTTAACGATACGATACAAGGATTGATACGGGTATTTTGTAGCCATAGAACTCGCAAAGAGTTCATTCAATCAACTTGGGAATTATAATTTATCAGAAAATTCAGATAACAAAACAGTTTTCATGGGTTTTGCTAGTGAATAAATAATAAAATAATAGGATTGACAGCTATACTTAACATTTCCTGAAGACAACAACCAACAAAATCACATCCCCATGAACCGATCCCTGATATTTCTACAATCTTATACGAACTCTTTACAGGACACTGTTGGCAGGCAAGACAATAACTTGCGAGTGATCCACTGCTCTAGACACCTAGCCATGGCGCAAGACGGGTTGACCAGCTATGTTATGACACAAAATGCCACCCTAATGACCTTCAGACTGTATTGGTTGGCTTGGTATTAATGTATGGTGCCACTGCTTTGGCATTAACTAAAATCCCAGAGTACGCTTAAATGGTACCTACACTCGGATACTGAGAGTTATACTTAACATCTGTTGGAGAAATTGATTAAAAAAAAAGTGAAAATATTTGATTAGTAAAAATAGATACGTTCATACATACTTGTGAGGACGCAAAAGAATGGTGAATATTCGTAAGATGTTTTGTACCTTTATTAGTATCCAACAATATGCTCACCTACAGTATTTATTAGTATTTTACAGTACTTTTAGCTCTAGTATTTATAAGTGACACGTGTCACCTCTCATTTCTAAGCTTGATGAAACCTACACTCGGATGCTGAGAGCTAACAACATGTCATGGAGACAATAACCAACAAAATCACAGTTCTATGGACCTATCCCTGAATCTTTTTCATACCTATAAAGGCAAAATAAATTCTATTGGAAAGGATATGAAAATTCGCCTTGCTAAAGCCAGGGCCGCCTTGAATAAAATGGATGTCATCTGGAAATCTGATCTACGAGACAATCTCAAAAAGACACGGTATTAATGTATGGTACCACTGCTTTGGCATTAACCAAAATCCCAGAGTCTACACTTAATGGTACCTACACTAGGATGCTGAGAGCTATATTTAACATCTCTTGGAGACAACATCCAACTAAATCACAGCTCTATGGACCCATCTCTGATATTTCTATAATCTTACGCGAACTCAGAATGAGGTTTGCAGGTCACTGCTGGCAAGCAAACAAGAACTCACGAGTGATCTACTGCTCTAGACACCTAGCCATGGAGCAAGAAGGGTCGGCCGCTCAGCATCCACCTACATTGACTAGATATGTTTTGGTATGGCTTTTAAGCACTTTCCAATGGAGCCGTTAGATGGGATCTCCTTGATTTCTAAAGTATATTTTTGAATAAAATAGTACAAGTGGGAAAAGTAAAAGTTTATCATTCCTTTCGGCTGAAATAGGTAATCACTTTTGGTAATAGTGTTTTATCCTTAGTTAAATGCTATAATCTTGAATGCTGATTTTATGAACAATTCAATAAAAACTGTTGAATCTTTTTCATACCTATAAAGGCAAAATAAATTCAGCTCAAAAGGATGTGAAAATTCGCATAGCTAAAGCCAGGACCGTCTTTAATAAAATAGATGTCATCTGGAAATCTGATATACCAGATAATCTCAAGAAGAGACGGTATTAATATATGGTGCCACTGCTTTGGCATTAACCAAAATCCCAGAGTCTACACTAAATGGTACCTACACTCGGATGCTGAGAGCTATACTTAAGATCTCTTGGAGACAACATCCAACTAAATCACAGCTCTATGGACTTACTCATGATGTTTCTACAATCTTACGCGAACAGTCGACCAGATTGCTCGTACTGTCGAACTCTCTGCCTTGAGCAGAGACGAACCCGGACGAGGCTTTGCCGAGGACAAAGTTTCGTCCGGGGAGGTAGACAGGCTCTGAACCTGAATATGCGGGTTCTAAGGGAATATTTTTGGCCGAGAGAACCCATGGAAAACTCGGCCTTGTGCCACATACATCCCTCGTGGGGGTGGGGGCTGTTAAATATAACAATCATGTGAACGCAGAATGCACTTTACAGGACACTGCTGGCGAGCAAGACAAGAGCTTGCAAGTGATCTACTGCTCTGGATACCTAGCCATGGTGTAAGGTGGGTTGGTCACCCAGCAACTACCTACATTGGCTAACCATGTCAGGAGTTGGTAACAAGGAGATAAAGCCACTAAGATGCAATGGGCTACTGAACAGGAAAGAATATGAGAAAAAAAAAGTGAGATTAACCATTTTTTTTCAAAAATAATTTTATTCCAAGCAAGGCGATAAAGCCACTAAAATACAAGTGGTTACCGAGTTTGAAAGACATTATACTGAAAAAAATATTACAGAGGAGAAAAATCGATAAAAAATAGGATTCAAAGAGACAGAAGATGACGATTGACGTTGCATTTACATTTTTGTCGATCGTAGTTGACCGGAAAGCAAGAGGCCGGAAGAGAGTTTCACAGGCGAGAAGTGCAAAAGAAGAAACTACTAGAATAGAAATTACGGTTAGGCTTAGTAATTTCAACAGTAAAATTATGAGACCTGCCTGCTAATCTAGTACTGCGCTTACCTTTGAGGAAAGCTCTCCAGCTCAATTGCCATGAGAAAAAGCCGTTACGGAGGTAGGAAAGCAACTGAAGACGAGATCTCGGACCAGGAAGGAAGATATTGCAAATTATTCTTTAGATTTTCTCCAGAATCTCTGAATACAAAGCAGAAGCACCAAACCAGATGTGACAGCAATATTCAATTTACGGACGAATGACGAATGGTAGACTTATAAATGTGCAAAAGAAAAAATCCTCTAGCACGGCACATTGAATCAAATTTCATACCAGAAGTCTTAGCAATCGACGACGACGACTTCTTCTTCTTGCTTGCTCCTCCTCCTCCTCCTCCGAAGGACAAACTATCTCGTGTGACTTGTAAATGTTAGCAAGCTTGTCTCTCTAGAACAATTACGAATGATTAGTGAGTTCGATCCTCAATGGGTGCCCCTTACTTTCGGCCTTATGCCACACCCAAGCTACACTTGGAAAATCACTATCTCGTGTGACTTCCTATCTCGCGTGGCACTTAGCAGCTTTCTTCCTTTGCTAAGGTTCCTGCCCTTTGTTTTCCACCATCTATTCACACATGCTCGCCAAGTAAGCGGCTCACTTTCTTCCCTTATTTTCCTCTCGCTTAATATTCCCTGTGGAGATTAAGTTTTCCAAGCCGTCCTTCCTTATCTTGAGTCCAAGGAATCCCAGCTGACTTTTTCCCTGATTCTGAATAGAAGTGTTCTTTCTGTTACCATTTTCTTTAAGTCTTCCTTGTTTCTTACTAGTTCCCAGTAAACTCTTGTCAAACAACATTTCTGTTGCCTCTAGTTTTTTTCCCCATCCATGGGAAGATTGTTCAGCATTCTCTGCTAGATAAGAAGGTAGATATCATATAGCAATCCAACACTTTTTTGTTGTTGTTTCTAACGAACTTTTTCCGTTTC